ATATTGAGATTATTCATTTTTGGCAAGAATACCACAGAAGCAATGTGTATATCATATAGAATGTATATGCTGTCAGTATGTCTTCTTACAGGTGATGTTAAACTTGATCACTTGGATAAGGTGGTGTTTGCCAGGTTCCTCCACTGTAGAATTATTATTTTTCCCTTTGCAATTAACAGATATCTTGGAGTAAATACTTCCCTTATTCCTTCTATATTTATTAATTAGAATTTCTTTGTGAGGGAAGGGCTTTTCCTTCTCTTCCATTTATTTATCTGTTCAGTTACTTATTAGTATCAGTGTGGAATCATTTATTTTGTAGGTTATACTCAAATACTATAGTTATTTATTTTGTTTCTAAACTCTTCTAGTTTTAGCTATTAGGAGCTCTCAGGTGATACCTGTATCCTATCTTTCTTGAGCTCTTCCTTACTTTCTGGCACCACAAAATGTTCTAGGCTTGCCTTAGATTTTCTCTGCCCCAACAAATTCTGGAATCAACCAATTCTTTAAGATGCCTTGGTTTCTTTTATTGGAAAATGGTATTAGAAAATGGTATTAGAAATGGTATTAGAAACCAAGATGTGAAAATTGGGTTTGCTTATTTCTTGCTTGCTTCTGAGGATTGATTGTTTTTTGTCATTTATACATTTTTGTCATTATACATTTCTCTTGAATCATGACATTCAGAATACCCATTCATTTTTTTAAAATAAATGCATTTAAGACTATACATTTTTCTCTGCATACTTTGGTATATCATGTTTCCATTATTTATTTCTACATAGTTTTTATTATTATTTCTTCTTTGGCCCAATGTTTATTAGATGTATGTTTTAAGTTTCAATGTATATAGATTGTTAATTGGCTTTTTGCTGTAAATGTTTCATGTAATTTTACTGTAAGCAATGAGTGTGCATATATGATGTTTTTTCTTTTTAAGAACATATTAAAATTTTAATTGTGGCTTGTTACATGGTCACTTTTTGTGATTTTACCATGTGTTTGAAAGAATGATTATTAGATATAACCTCCAATTAAATCAATACATCATTTGTTACTTATGTTATTCAAATCCTCAATATCTTTACTATTTTTCATATCATTGTAACATTCCATTTCTGTGAGAAATGTGTTAATACCTTCCGTTATGATTAATAATTTGTTCTCACTGAATTTTTAACGGATATTTCTTTATGTTTTAGAGCCATGTTTTGGGTATGTAAAAGTTCATGATTATTATTTTTCTTGGTAGATTAGGATTTTTATCAAAACTAAAGGGTTCTATTTACTGTGTTGCTAGTTATTAATATTAATGTATATCTTCTATCATTTTTAAAGCTATGGCCTGGTATATATTTTTCTAACTTTTATTTTCTACATTTCTGTTAATTATTATTTTTTTTTATATGTGACTCCTGAAAACAACATGTGGCTGATTTTTTTCTCTTAGTATGCCAAAAGAAATACTTGTTGGGGTATAAAGTGAGGCTGAAAAATGGGAAAATTTATTAAAAATATTTTAGAAGTGCATTTAGGCTTGCAGAACCTCTCTCCAACTCTTCCTCCCCAAAGGCTTTTAATTACCTTGTCCTGACTCTGGTAGATGGCATAGCTACTATCAAAATAGCTAATTCCCCACATGGTCTCCTGCAGTTGAAGCCCATCGTTTAATAATTCCAATGCACACCACAGAAACTTAAGGCATTTCAGTGCCTCATTTGTTAGGTTTTTAAAGAGAAAATAGTATAATAAATGTCCATTAATACAGATTCAAAAATTACCACAATTTTTGTCATTTGTGTTTCATCTGTCCCTTTTTTCTGTTGCTAAAGTAATTTAAGGAAAACCCAAGATGGCATGCTATTTTCATTTCTATTTACTTCAGTGTGATGTGCCATTTTCTTATGTAACAACAGTATCATTTTCCCCAAATTAGCAATAGTTCTGCTATATTTTCTAATTCTCAGTTCATAATCAAATTTCCTTAATATTTTTTAAAAACTAGTTTATTTGTTTGAATCTAGTTCTATAGAAGGTCTGCATGTCACTTTTGTTGCTCCTCTCTCTCTCTTTTTTTTTAAAGATTTTATTTATTTATTTGACAGAGACACAGCGAGAGAGGGAACAGAAGCAGGGGGATTGGGAGAGGGAGAAGCAGGCTTCCTGCTGAGCAGGGAGCATGATGCAGGGCTCAGTCCCAGAATCCTGGGATCATGACCTGAGCCAAAGTCAGATGCTTAAGGACTGAGCTACCCAAGCACCCTTCTTGCTTCTCTTTTATCTAGAAAAGCCACTTTCCCACCTTTTCTCCCTTCATCATTATTAACTTGTAGGAACTGGACCAATTGTGTTCATTTGTAAATATGAGCAGACAACAAAGGATCTCCAGACTGTAAGGGAGGCTTCAAATGTGAAAGACAAAAAACAAAGCAAGGAAAAAATTTAAAAACCCAGAGAAAACAGAAGTAATGCAGTAAGCTGAAGAAAATTTTAAAACACAGTGTAACTGATATCAAAATTATCATCAAAGAGTAAGAGAAGAAATTGTATCCATGAAATAAGAACAAGAGGTAATAAAAAAAGGGACCTTTTGGAGAATAAGAAAGAATTCCTGATAATTAGAATATGGTAGCAGAAATTAAAAATTTTATAGGCAGAATGGAAGATCATGGAACTAAAACAAAATGTCAAAATAGTAAGATGGCAAGAAAATTTAAGAAAATTAGATCTCTCCAGATGGTTCCACATCCAAATAGAAAGATGTTCCAGAAAGGAAACAGAAAATGAAGGGGAAGGAATCATTCTCCCTAGGGTAAAGTTCCTGGAACTAAACATCAGTTTCCAAAACAAATACTCATGAAGTGTGCAGCACAGAGAAGGACAAAATACTGACATGATAATATATTTTGATGAAATTTAAGAATACTAAGTGAAAAGAGAAAAATTTTAAAGCTTCAGAATCAGGGCAGGGGCAGAGTAGGGAGAATCTACCATGTATCATACAAAGAAGTAGGAATTAAAATGGCATCAGACTTTGGAAAACAGCACCAGAAGTAAGGAAACAGAGGACAGTGCCCTAATTTTCACATGAAGAATATTTTTCTCATCTATGATTCTATATTCAGCTAAACTGTCCAGTCTGATATATAGTAAAGACATTTTCAGATATTCACATTCTCAAATTTACCTCTCATGCACAAAATGTTTCTGGAGGATTTATTCCACCAAAAGGAGTACACCACAGAGGAGGAAGATTTTATTTTATTTTATTTTTATTTATTTTTTTTAAAAGATTTTATTTATTTATTTGCCAGAGAGAGAGAGAGGGAGAGAGAGCGAGCACAGGCAGACAGAATGGCAGGCAGAGGCAGAGGGAGAAGCAGGCTCCCTGCCGAGCAATGAGCCCGATGTGGGACTCGATCCCAGGACGCTGGGATCATGACCTGAGCCAAAGGCAGCTGCTTAACCAACTGAGCCACCCAGGCATCCCAGGAGGAAGATTTTAGAGCCAGGATACAGAATATTTGACATGAAAGAGCTGAGGATAGTTCCTGAAATGATAAGAAAGGGAAGTCCCAGGATGACAGTTGTTACAGTCAATTGAGAGAATACCCAGATTGGAGAATGAGAATAGAGAGCTCTGGGAAGGATGTTTCCTAGAAAAGAAATGATATGGAAGAGTTTTCTGCTGTGTCTGAAGGTGTTGAGAGAGAATTACACCTCTGTCAGATTTGGAAGATATATCAGTAATAGGTACACAGAAAACTAAGAAGAAAAGGAAATGGTTTTTTTAATCCAGGGACAATAAAAAGTTGTACAAGAAAAGAAATGTGATCATATCATAACATAGGGCTCACTAGTGAAGAATAATGTAAATACTAAATTAAAAATTTGATTTAAGTAAACTGGGAGGGTGAGACGAGGAAGGTGATGTGTTTGTATGCGTATATAAGAGTATTGGTATGTGTAGAAGGATCAGTTCTTACTAGGATTGTGATAGAAACTGCTAGCTACCTACCCTAACATCATTGTTCCTTCTTCCTTAGTAAGAGAACTGTGGATATATCTGCTCTACTTGAAATAGGTATGGTCAGGTGTCTAATATCTAAATTCAGCAGAAGTAATTGGTGATACTTCCAAAAAGCTCCTTAAAACAGAATGAGCCATTATTCTCATCTTGCTGCTGGTCTGGAATGGGAAGGGAGTTGTTGGGGTTTCTGCCACTGGTTTCTGCCATGGTCAATGAAAATAACACACACCAAAGATGGTAGACCAGAAAGTTGGAAGGATCCTGGGGCTCTGATGACTCTATAAAGCTATTATTATCAGCATTGGATTGGCTAACAATATATTTGTTTTATGCAATATAATGTACTCTTGTATATTTAAGCTATTTATTTATGTCTCAGTTATTAGTAGCAGTATCAGATCCTAGCTGATTTGTAATTTACTAGGTAATACTGAAATATTAAGGAATAAGAATATAAGCATGTTATTTAGTAATATAGAAAGAAATACTAGAGAAATCAGGGGAAAAAGTTGAAAGTTGTTTTGGGCAGTGGGAATTGAGGTCAAGGCAAATGATTACTGTTTTTTCTTTAGATTTTTTAGTAATATTTGACATTTGAAATTGTATACATGTATTACTTTTAATAAAAATTAGATTAATATTTGTTTAGTTATATTCTAATTAGTAATTGAAGTGAAAATACATGTTCATTGAAAAATTTGAACAATACAGAAGATACAGAGTAAAAATTATGCCTCCCTTCAGTGTTCTTTGCCTTTTCCCTGCCCATCAGTTCTACTCTCCTCTCCAGGGTTAATGGTGTTTGATATGTGTCTCTCCATACTTTTTCTGTACATTCATTTAGCATATATAAAGATGTGTATAGCTTTTTAACATTTATTTTTATTAAAAGTATATTTAAATTTAATAAAATTCTCAGGAAGGAATATTTATGCTTGTAATAGGTGTTGTTTGTTTATATTTTTAGAATTCAAGATGTGAGCATGCAGTTAAAAAGTCAACAAAATGAATTTCAGAGAATACAGAAAGAATTGAATCATTTGCAACATGAATTAAAAATAAAGCAGAGACAATCACAAGTATTCAGGTAAGATTATCTTTAAAGAATCGAAAATGATAAGGATTGAAAAGGTACTTTTAATACTAACTTGATAAACATTCAAACAGATTTGAGTAATATAGTTTCTGTATTCCGTGTGGTTGAAAAGAAACAACTTCACCTGGGGGTTTTTTTTTTTGGCCATTATCTCAACTGAAGAGTTTTAGCAGGCGAACACCTTGCTTTTATTGTGCAGTAACATTTAGAATGAAGGCACAATAACTAATTCATTTTTCTCTTTCTCTTGACCAGTATTTCTTGGTGTTTTAATTCCCTGCCTGATAGTCTAGTGGTACAAAAAGTAATAGAAGAATAGGATAACTTTAGAAAAAACCATTTATTTATTTGAGAGAGGAAGCGTGTGCATGCTTGTGTGAGTGGGGGAGGAGCAGAAGGAGAGAATCTTCAAGCTGACTCCTTGCTGAGTGTGGAGCCCAGCTAGGGGCTCATCTCAGCACCCAGAGATCATGACCTGAACCGAAACCGTGTTTGATGCTTAACCAATTGAGCCACCCAGGCACCTCTAGAATAGGGCAACTTTCTAAATGATAGTAATTTAGACCTCCTAAATTTCAAAATTTCCAACATAAATGGTGTTCATTCTGTTTTCATATAATCTTTGGAGGGCTTATAATATCTAAACCCCATGTTCTAAATAAATTAGGAAGTTCATTTTCTTTTAAAAAATTGGAATTGAATATATTGAGAATATCAGAAAAAATGATTCTTTTCAAAATTGAGTAACAGCTCTTAGAAAAGGGAAATAAGTGAACATTATAAATAGAGAGTTTCTGGGTTACTAAAAAATATGTTGAATGAATATTTTTTTAAATTTTATTTTTTATAAACATATAACATATTTTTATCCCCAGGGGTACAGGTCTGTGAATCGCCAGGTTTACACACTTCACAGCACTCACCATAGCACATACCCTCCCCAATGTCCATAATCCTACCCCCCCCCAAGCCCCCTCCCCCCATTAACCTCAGTTTGTTTTGTGAGATTAAGAGTCACTTATGGTTTGTCTCCCTCCCAATCCCATCTTGTTTCATTTACTCTTCTCCTACCCCCTTAACCCCCCATGTTGCATCTCCTCTCCCTCATATCAGGGAGATCATATGATAGTTGTCTTTCTCCGATTGACTTATTTCGCTAAGCATGATACCCTCTAGTTCCATCCACGTCGTCGCAAATGGCAAGATTTCATTTCTTTTGATGGCTGCATAGTATTCCATTGTGTATATATACCACATCTTCTTGATCCATTCGTCTGTTGATGGACATCTAGGTTCTTTCCATAGTTTGGCTATTGTAGACATTGCTGCTATAAACATTCGGGTGTACGTGCCCCTTCGGATCACTACGTTTGTATCTTTAGGGTAAATACCCAGCAGTGCAATTGCTGGGTCATAGGGTAGTTCTATTTTCAACATTTTGAGGAACCTCCATGCTGTTTTCCAGAGTGGTTGCACCAGCTTGCATTCCCACCAACAGTGTAGGAGGGTTCCCCTTTCTCCGCATCCTCGCCAGCATCTGTCATTTCCTGACTTGTTAATTCTAGCCATTCTGACTGGTGTGAGGTGATATCTCATTGTGGTTTTGATTTGTATTTCCCTGATGCCGAGTGATGTGGAGCACTTTTTCATGTGTCTGTTGGCCATCTGGATGTCTTCTTTGCAGAAATGTCTGTTCATGTCCTCTGCCCATTTCTTGATTGGATTATTTGTTCTTTGGGTGTTGAGTTTGCTAAGTTCTTTATAGATTTTGGACACTAGCCCTTTATCCGATATGTCATTTGCAAATATCTTCTCCCATTCTATCAGTTGTCTTTTGGTTTTGTTAACTGTTTCCTTTGCTGTGCAAAAGCTTTTGATCTTGATAAAATCCCAATAGTTCATTTTTGCCCTTGCTTCCCTTGCCTTTGGCGATGTTCCTAGGAAGATGTTGCTGCGGCTGAGGTCGAAGAGGTTGCTGCCTGTGTTCTCCTCAAGGATTTTGATGGATTCCTTTCTCACATTGAGATCCTTCATCCATTTTGAGTCTATTTTCGTGTGTGGTGTAAGGAAATGATCCAATTTCATTTTTCTGCATGTGGCTGTCCAATTTTCCCAACACCATTTCTTGAAGAGGCTGTCTTTTTTCCATTGGATATTCTTTCCTGCTTTGTCGAAGATTAGTTGACCATAAAGTTGAGGGTATATTTCTGGGCTCTCTATTCTGTTCCATTGCTCTGTGTGTCTGTTTTTGTGCCAGTACCATGCTGTCTTGATGATGACAGCTTTGTAATAGAGCTTGAAGTCTGGAATTGTGATGCCACCAACTTTGGCTTTCTTTTTCAATATTGCTTTGGCTATTCGAGATCTTTTCTGGTTCCATATAAATTTTAGGGTTATTTGTTCCATTTCTTTGAAAAAAAATGGATGGTACTTTGATAGGAATTGCTATTGCATTAAATGTGTAGATTGCTTTAGGTAGCATAGACATTTTCACAATATTTATTCTTCCAATCCAGGAGCATGGAACATTTTTCCATTTCTTTGTGTCTTCCTCCATTTCTTTCATGAGTACTTTATAGTTTTCTGTGTATAGATTCTTAGTCTCTTTGGTTAGATTTATCCCTAGGTATTTTATAGTTTTGGGTGCAATTGTAAATGGGATTGACTCCTTAATTTCTCTTTCTTCTGTCTTGTTGTTGGTGTAGAGAAATGCAACTGATTTCTGTGCATTGATTTTATATCCTGACACTTTACTGAATTCCTTTACAAGTTCTAGCAGTTTTGGAGTGGAGTCTTTTGGGTTTTCCACATATAGTATCATATCATCTGCGAAGAGTGATAGTTTGACTTCTTCTTTGCCGACTTGGATGCCTTTAATTTCCTTTTGTTGTCTGATTGCTGAGGCTAGGACTTCTAGTACTATGTTGAATAGCAGTGGTGATAACGGACATCCCTGCCGTGTTCCTGACCTTAGCGGAAAAGCTTTCAGTTTTTCTCCATTGAGAATGATATTTGCAGTGGGTTTTTCATAGATGGCTTTGATAATATTGAGGTATGTGCCCTCTATCCCTACACTTTGAAGAGTTTTGATCAGGAAGGGATGCTGTACTTTGTCAAATGCTTTTTCAGCATCTATGGAGAGTATCATATGGTTCTTGTTCTTTCTTTTATTAATGTGTTGTATCACATTGATTGATTTGCGGATGTTGAACCAACCTTGCAGCCCTGGAATAAATCCCACTTGGTCGTGGTGAATAATTCTTTTAATGTACCGTTGAATCCTATTGGCTAGTATTTTGGCGAGAATTTTTGCATCTGTGTTCATCAAGGATATTGGTCTGTAGTTCTCTTTTTTGATGGGATCCTTGTCTGGTTTTGGGATCAAGGTGATGCTGGCCTCATAAAATGAGTTTGGAAGTTTTCCTTCCATTTCTATTTTTTGGAACAGTTTCAGGAGAATAGGAATTAGTTCTTCTTTAAATGTTTGGTAGAATTCCCCCGGGAAGCCATCTGGCCCTGGGCTTTTGTTTGTTTGGAGATTTTTGATGACTGTTTCAATCTCCTTACTGGTTATGGGTCTGTTCAGGCTTTCTATTTCTTCCTGGTTCAGTTGTGGTAGTTTATATGTCTCTAGGAATGCATCCATTTCTTCCAGATTGTCAAATTTGTTGGCGTAGAGTTGCTCATAGTATGTTCTTATAATTGTCTGTATTTCTTTGGTGTTCGTTGTGATCTCTCCTCTTTCATTCATGATTTTATTTATTTGGGTCCTTTCTCTTTTCTTTTTGATAAGTCTGGCCAGGGGTTTATCGATCTTATTAATTCTTTCAAAGAACCATCTCCTAGTTTCGTTGATTTGTTCTATTGTTTTTTTGGTTTCTATTTCATTGACTTCTGCTCTGATCTTTATGATTTCTCTTCTCCTGCTGGGTTTAGGGTTTCTTTCTTGTTCTTTCTCTAGCTCTTTTAGGTGTAGGGTTAGGTTGTGTACCTGAGACCTTTCTTGTTTCTTGAGAAAGGCTTGTACCGCTATATATTTTCCTCTCAGGACTGCCTTTGTTGTGTCCCACAGATTTTGAGCCGTTCTGTTTTCATTATCATTTGTTTCCATGAATTTTTTCAATTCTTCTTTAATTTCCTGGTTGACCCATTCATTCTTTAGAAGGATGCTGTTTAGTCTCCATGTATTTGGGTTCTTTCCAAATTTCCTCTTGTGATTGAGTTCTAGCTTCAGAGCATTGTGGTCTGAAAATATGCAGGGAATGATCCCAATCTTTTGATACCGGTTGAGACCTGATTTAGGACCGAGGATGTGATCTATTCTGGAGAATGTTCCATGTGCACTAGAGAAGAATGTGTATTCTTTTGCTTTGGGATGAAATATTCTGAATATATCTGTGATGTCCATCTGGTCCAGTGTGTCATTTAAGGCCTTTATTTCCTTGTTGATCTTTTGCTTGGATGATCTGTCCATTTCAGTGAGGGGAGTGTTAAAGTCCCCTACTATTATTGTATTATTGTCAATATGTTTCTTTGATTTTGTTATTAATTGGTTTATATAGTTGGCTGCTCCCACGTTAGGGGCATAGATATTTAAAATTGTTAGATCTTCTTGTTGGACAGTTCCTTTGAGTATGATATAGTGTCCTTCCTCATCTCTTATTATAGTCTTTGGCTTAAAATCGAATTGATCTGATATAAGGATTGCCACTCCTGCTTTCTTCTGATGTCCATTAGCATGGTAAATTCTTTTCCACCCCCTCACTTTAAACCTGGAGGTGTCTTCGGGTTTAAGATGAGTTTCTTGTAGGCAACATATAGATGGGTTTTGTTTTTTTATCCATTCTGATACCCTGTGTCTTTTGATTGGGGCATTTAGCCCATTAACATTCAGGGTAAGTATTGAGAGATACGAATTTAGTGCCATTGTATTGCCTGTAAGGTGACTGTTATTGTATATTGTCTCTGTTTCTTTCTGATCTACTACTTTT